GGCAGCTGTCTCCTGGTCGTCCCTCTGAGCCTCGGCGATGGCGTGCAGGTCGGCGGCGTCCACGGTGGCGGCGTTCACTGACGCTGTAGGCGTGGTGCTCGGTGGCGCGGCAGCCGCCAGCGACTCGGTGGCCGGGTGCGGCGCAGCAGTCACCGGGGTCATGCCAGTGTCGGCGGCGGTGCTGCTGAGCGCAGCAGACGGCGGATCGGGGCGCGCGCGCGCGCGGTCCGGTGCGGCGACAGGTGGCCGCTCCGAGCGCGCGCGGGCACCGTCCGGCGCGGCGACCGGTGGCGGCTCGAGGCGTACCGCGCGCGCGGCGACCGGTGCGGCGACCGGAGGCGGCACAGGGCGCGCGCGCGCGCCGTCCGGTACGGTGACCGGAGGCGACTCAGGGCGCGCACCCGCACCGACGGGCGCGGTAGCCGCGCTGCCCAGTGTGGCCAGGAGTGATCCTGTCGGTGGCGAGGTCTCGGAGCTCTGGTCGGGCGGACTGAGGGCGTCGGGGGTCACAGGGCGACTCCAACAGTCAGCGACCACGTTGTCAGCCCCGCGCACGTACTGGACGGAGGAGACGTACTCGGAGATCACGCTCCAGTGCCGCTGCTGACGGTCCGACTTGGCCGTCTGCGGGCTGAGGAACGCGGTGGTGAGCGGCCGGTGGTCAGTGAAGAGCGCGACGACACGACCATCCAACAGGTGACGGAAGTGAAGCACGGCCAGGTAGGCGGCCAGCAGCTCGCGGTCGTATGTTGAGTATCGCCTCTGCTGGTCGCTGAGCTTCTTGGAGAAGAAGCCGACGGGGACAGGCTGACCGTCCACGATCTGGTACAGAGCTGCACCGGCTGCCACCTGTGAGCAGTCGGTGACCAGGTGGTAGGTCTCACAGGACGGCAGGTGATGTCGGATGGTGCATGCTGTCTGCAGTGCCTCCTTGATGTCTGTGAAGGCGGCGAGCTCCGTCTCGGTCCACGGGAGGTTGGTGCTCTTCTGGTTGTGCTTCATCAGCTCTGTCAGCGGGTGGACGATCTCGGCGAAGTGTGGGATCATCCGGCGGAAGAACCCGACCATCCCGAGGAATCGGCGGAGTGCTGTGGAGTCCGGTGGAGTCGGCAGATCTGCGATCTCCTCGATCTTGGCGTCTGGCGGCCGGAGCCCCTCGGCGGAGACGGTGTGGCCTAGATAGACCACCTGCGACTTGAAGAAGTCGCACTTGTCCAGCGAGATCCTTAGCCGGTGTCGATGGAGGATGCCGAGGACGGTCTGAAGGTCCTTGTGATGCTGCTCTGCGTCTGGCGAGAAGATCAGGACGTCATCCAGGTAGACGAAGACGCAGCTGACCTGGCGGAACAGCTGGTCCATCACACGCTGGAATGTAGCCCCACTGTTCCGCAGGCCCAGCGGCATGAACACGTATTCGTACGCGCCGAATGGTGTCGTTACAGCCGTCTTCTCCACATCCTGTGGCGACATAGGGATCTGGTGATAGGCTCTCAGCAGGTCCACCTTGGAGAACACACGCATCCCACGGAGACGGGTGCTGATGCTGTGGATGTGTGGCAGCGGGTAGCGGTCTGGCTTGGTCTTGCCGTTCAGCGCGCGGTAGTCCCCTGTCGCTCTCCACATCCCGGGAGTCTTCTTCGGGACCATGTGCAGAGGCGATGCCCAGGGAGAGTTGGACGGTCGGATGATGCCAGCCTCCAGCAGGGTGTCGAACGTCTTCTTGGCAGCTTCCAGCTTGTCCGGCGGGAGTCGTCTCGGACCGGCGAACGTCGGTGGAGAGCTGCCGGTGTCGATGTTGTGGGAGGCTGGAATCGGGCACGCATCAGCTTCTGTTCCCAGTTGCAGCGGCATCAGCAGAGAGGGGAACTGCTGCAGGAGTGTCTGGACCTCCGGTGGTAGACTGTCGCTCTGGTTGACCAGGAAGGCGCCGGGACCGGGGCGGTCGACGGGAGCACCTGGTGAACGGAGGGAGGTCACGGAGTCCAGGAGAGTCTGGGAACCACAGTCAACAAGGAGGTTGTGATGGGCAAGAAAATCATGGCCGAGCAGGGGAGCTGTGACGTCAGCAACAACAAACGACCAGAGGAAAGAACGGCGGAGGGCAGGAATGACGAAGGAGAGCAGTACTTCACCATGCGTTGGGAGAGGCGCTCCACTGGCGGTGGTGATGCGGACAGCTGTCGGCTGCAGGATGGCTCCCTCGACGACGTCCTGAGGCACCAGAGAGACGCCGGCTCCAGTGTCTACGATGAAGTGTAGAGTGCTGGCTCCAGCTTGGGCTGCGACTCGGAAGAGTGGCAGGCCGCGCGTCGCAGTCGCGAGGGCCTGCCCCTCTAGTTTCCCGGACGCTGGGGAGAACCACGCCGGGAGGAGGGCTCCATCTTGGCGTCCCCCTTCTTCGGCCACCGGCACCAGGGCTTGCACGTGCGGGCCTCCTGGCCGAAGTACAGGTGCGCCCTGCAGACTTGTGGTCGCTGGTCTCTGTAGAATGGCTGCAGGCCTCGTGGAGTGGAGCTGGCAGCAGGTAGAGGTCCATCCCGACTGCGGCCACTGGATCGGGCGGCAGGACGATGGTCCCACTGGTGCTGCTGCTGACTGGTCGAGGGCGGCTGAGGCTGGGCAGTTGCTGCTAAGCAGGACGTCTGAAGCAGGGGCATCAGTTCATCGGCCAGCTTGCCCAGCTGGTGGAGCGTGAGGTCCCGCTGGGCTGCGAGGACAGTTCCCACGGTGGGCGGCAGGCTCTGGAGCAACTTGTGTCTCACGAGGTCGTCGCCGACCCCCACCTTGCAGCCAATCTCCTGTAGTTCTCTGACGAAAAGAGAAGGCCGTCCGGTCAGTTGGACCTTGCTGATGAGCTGATCGAATAGCTCAGACCTAGTCCGCTCATAGAGGGAGCACACAGCATCCCGCAGGGTTGCATAGCTGCTCGAACCAAGCACTGACGTGTCAAGCTTGGAGACTGTGGTGGGCGGAAGGGCAGCCAGGACGTGGTAGAACCTGGTGGTGTCGCTGGTAATCTTGGCCAGATGGAATTGGGCCTCCATGATCGCGAACCAGCCCTGGACAGCCGTCTCCATGAAGGCTGGTGGCTTCACTGACACGTGCTGGACAGCACCAGCGGCAGAGTCAGTTGGGGCAGCTGCTGCTGCTGCACCCCCAGTCACAGGGACAACAGTGTCACCGGAGAGGGCACGGCCATCATCAACAGGGTCAGGCATCACGACGAGCAGGTGGGGAGGTCAATCAACAAAACAGACAAAAAAAATGACAACAAAAGCACAGGAAAAGCAGGCAAAACAATCACGTCGGGCAGGTCACCAGTTATGAAGTGGTCAGGTAAAGGCTACGTGCTCTGTGATTGGAAGGAAAATGATTGTTCTGCCAAAATGACACGTGGGACGAAAGACAATGTTTAGGTAAGCGAGATAACGAGAGATCAGCGGTAAAAATTAAGGAAAAACGTGAGGAAAGCTCGCGCGAATACTCAGCCTGTCAGACGCCACTGTGCACTGTAGAAAAGCTATATTTAGCGTAGATATATCGAGATGTGAAACAACTGTGTAACGAGAGCCGGAATAACAATGGAGCGGAAGCGACAGTGCCAGAAACACAAACTATTTAGATAAAAGATAGAAACGGGCTTACAGAAAACAACGAAATAATTACGCCAATTAAAGCACAATAAACTTATTTTAGAACGCAAGTAACATTATATAATCTTAAGACAATAGCGAAGATAATACGATTTAAATATAATACTAAAAACGAGATCAGAAGGTACTTGAAAAGGAAACAGTATTTGCGCACACGCGACAAAACAATAGCGCACTTGGGCGGAGACGCCGCAACTAAATAATGTGCCGGTGGGCTGCGCGGCACCACACATGATATAACAAATGACACTATAATAGGCAAATTCATGGCACATTATGCATCCTTAGGTACACAGTACACACATGTGCACATTGAAAAGTTGTCGAAATAAAATTGAATTTCTGCTGGTTGCATTTTATCATGACTTAGGAACGCACAATCTAAGTATACAATTCAGTAGACATTGTGATATTTATTCACTTTCGATGACAACACAAAAGCAAATATTCTATATAGCCAGACGTTTCTGCCTCAGGGTGCCTTCGTCAGTGACAATACCGAGATACTAATACATTAATAAATTACGTTGAAAAATGTCCAGGTCATGTATACTTTGAAAGTGTAAAAGATATTGATTAATTTATTAATGTATTAGTATCTCGATATTGTCACTGACGAAAGCACCCTGAGGTCGAAACGTCTGGCTATATAGAATATTTTCTTTTGTGTTGTCATCGAAAGTGAATAAATATCACAATGTCTGGCACGATACATCAGTAGACATTACCACAATACTTGAGGGAAGCACTTTTCGGGGAGCGCTGCGGCCCGAAGGTTGGGACTTTGAATTGTGAAAAACGCCCGCCCGCCGCAAAACGCAAACACCGCAAAACGCGCTAAGCGCACGCCCGAAACGCCAACGCAAACGTAAAAAACAAAACAAAAAAACGCCCGCCCGCCGCAAACCGCAAAAAAAAACGCAAAATCGCCGCAAAAAAATAAACCACCTGCATCGCCCGCACGCTAACCGCCAACCGAAAACGGCTAAACAGCGCCCAACCGCCGCCAACCGGAAACAAATTAAACACCGCGAACAACACAAAAAAGAAAACCGCCCGCATCGCTTCCCGCCCGCCGCCAAACACAAACACCGCAAAAAAGCACAAAACGCCCGCCCGCCGCAAAACGCAAACACCGTCAAACGCGCAAAATGCACGCCCGAAACGCCAACGCAAACGTCGAAAAAATTGCCCAACCGCCGCAAACCGCAAAAGCCGCAAAAACACCGCAAAAAATGAACCGCCCGCATCGCACGCACGCCAACCACCAACCAAAAACGCCTAAAAAATCGCCCGCCCGCTGTACAATTCAGTAGACATTACCACAATCCTGTGCGCCTGTTTCAGATGATAACACAGCTGCTGTGGCTGTCGCCGGCGCTGGCCGCCGCCGCGGTCTCCGGTCAGTCCCTCTGCCGGCCGGCCGCCCAGTGTCTGCCCGCCGATGGCCTGCCGGGCGCCGGCCGCGCGTGCACGCTGCCGGACGGCTCGGCGGGCCGGCTGTGCCGCCTGGAGGCGCCCCGTCAGCAGCGCCGGCTCGGTCTTGGCGCGCTGGCGCCGCTGGGCAGCGCGGCGTCCGACGAGCGGCTGCAGCTGTCGGCCAGCGCCGACCAGCAGCTGGCACACCAGGCCGGCGTCAGCGCGCTGCAGCTGCTGCGCCAGGCCAACCAGCGCCTCCAGACCGCTGACGACACGTCCTCGCAGATGATCTTCTGGAACTCGCCGTCCAGCTCGAACGTGCTGGCGATGGGCTACAGCGCGCTGCAGCACCTCGAGACCATGAAGCAGATGCAGCCGCGGAGCCTGCGCCGCCGCCGTCAGCGGCGCCAGGCGAACCTCGAGCGGATCACCCCCCTCCGACCTGAGCATCTGGAACTCACCCTCCTCGGAGGAGCGCAGATGAAGGGCGTCAACGCCCTCCAGGCGCTGCTGCTCATGATGCGCCAGGGCCAGAGCACCAACCAGCTGCTGCGGAGGACCCGGCGCCAGGCGACCCGCACCTGGTGCCCGGCTGCACCCCTGAGCCGGAGCCGCGCTGCGACGCCGGCAACCGCTACCGCACCGCCTCCGGCGAGTGCAACAACCTCAAGCACCCGCTGTGGGGACGATCGCTGGCCAGCAGATCCGCCTGGCCGACACGTTCGATGACGGCGTGTACACTCCGCGGCGGCGCGCCA